GGTTTCTGCTAATAAGACCCCCATTTGGTTTCGCCATAGGGCTCCAACAATGAGGAATGTGCAGTTTTATTGTCACTTTGTTCAGAGAAGATAATTATGCCTGCTTTTATCACTTCAGTGCACACATTTTGCAAATTTAGAAACCTGCGTTGAGATTTACATGCAGAGTCTGTAATAGAAAATGTATTTGTTTGTGGAAAGGAACATATGTGAAAAATATTGCTAGATATATATTTTGTAATTATCTAAATTCTTTACTTCAGACTTATGTACCCTCTAGAAGCTTGTGTTCTGCAAGTGAACGGCGCTTTATTGTGCCATCCCAAAGAGGCACAAAATCACTTTCACGGACTTTTAAATTAAATGTTCCCTCCTGGTGGAATGACCTGCCCAACTCAATCCGAGCAGCTGAGTCCTTAGCCATCTTCAAGAATAGGCTAAAACACATCTCTTCCATCTTTTTTTGACCCTCTAACTCTAGAACTCTCTATTCTAATTCTATTCTTAAAACACTTGTCCCTTTTAGACTTGCACTCTATTTATTTGCTGCTTGTTTTCTTTAAAAAAAAAACTAACACTTGCTTTCTAATCTTTTTGTATTCTATCTGTTTTCTTTTCATTTATTACACAATTAACAAAAGCAAAAAAGACCTCTAACACTAGCTTGCTCTATTCTTTTTCTATTCTATCTGTTTTCTTTTTTATTTATTATATTATTTAAAAAAACCTTGCTATGTGTACTGCGTTAAGCTAACTGAGACTTGTTATAGCACTTGTATATCATTGCTCTTTTGTTGATTTTTATTGCTTCCATTGTCCTCATTTGTAGGTCGCTTTGGATAAAAGCGTCTGCTAAATGACTAAATATAAATGTAAATGTAAACTACAGAAACTAATGTAGTTTAAACAATAAAACTAATGTGGCTGTGACACTCCCATCTGTTCTGTCACTCCACCTCCTTTCACATCTGATGTAAGTAAACCTTAGTTACAGTATCACTTCAGACAAACATCTGTTCTAACAAAGAAAGTTTGAGAATTCCTTAAATGAGGTACAAGAAACTCCTACCTGAAGCAGGGAGGAATTCAGAGCCGGGATATGGCAGCTGTGGGGTGGATCTGCAGCTTCTGGATGCTGCGCTGCCGGTTACTGCTCAGATCATTCACACTGCTAGTGACTACAAAAGAGCACTGAAGGAGATAAACGGAGGTCAGAAGAGACACTGCAGCTCTTTAGAGACTCAGTAGGACCACTGAACACTTATTACTTATTTTAAGCATTATAAAGCATAAAGTGCTAGTTAATTTTAACCACAAAAAATGTGGGCCTGATTAGAAAATGTTAAATAGTCGTATAAAAATTGTCACACTTGTACTCTTAGCATAGGAAATTAATGGGAAATACAAAAAACCCCCCATCAAAATACAGAGGGGGATACAATCTACAAATTAGCCATTGAGCAGAAAAAAAGCAGTTTTACACATGATTTTCTTTATTTCTTTCCACAATATGGCACTAATCTGCCTGTAGTCATTGAATTATAAATGTTGCTGCGTTATTTTTAACTACTTAAAGTTAACAGTATCAGAGGGTTCAACAAACCAAACGTCTGTAAATTGTGTAAATGTAATTTGAAACCCAACTCTTTATCTATGTATAAACAAACTCTCAGTGTAGCTGCTCTTATTTTTAATGGCACAAAAAAGAAGATAAAAGAGTAAGGGTAAAAAATTAACAGGTACCTCTTTGTTCATGACATATGAGATGTTTCCTCCATTCTCCAGAAGAGCTAATCTCAGTTTATTCTTCTCTCTAAAAGGCAGGTTCTTCACATCTAACACCACAGTACAGTTTTCAAACACTGTCATGGTGCCAGCGTGTCTGAACATTTGGAGAAAAGCAAAAGAACAAAGAAAAACTGCGATGAATCCTACAGTAAATATATCAATCACATTAACACTATGAAAATAATAATAGCATAATTCTTACTGGCGTATCAACACAAAACATGTTTGAGTAAACACATTGACTATTCATTAAATAAATCAGACTTTATGCACAATACTTATATTGGCACATGCACAAAACATGTTAGATTTCTCAAGTTGATATCTTTCTCTTGATAGAAAGCAGCAGATAATAATGCAAATTCTGCTGCAGTATCTCTCTGCTAGTGTTGTCGTGTCATTAGCAGACAGAAGAGTATCTTACCGCGGACAAAGTCAGAGTCGAGTGACACGTTTAGGTTTTGAGAAAATACTGTTAATGAAGACGTAAATAATCTGCAGTGTAAAGTTAGGTACAAGTGCTTCCTGACTCGTACGTACAGTAAAGACACGCCTCCATTCCTCCCTGAGATAAAAACAAGACGGGCTCCATCCACTGGTCCAAACCGTCCTAGCACAAATTACCACAATTTACCGTAGATTGACGTGTGGGAAAAAAACGTGGCGAGAGTTTGAGGAGAGAAAAGTTTGTAGTTTATGAATTAATTTGGGTGACGAGACTAAGTCTGATGTCATTTTCATATTTTGAGATCTGAAAAAAAAAAATCCTTAGAGGATCTGTCACAGCAATTTTTATTTTGATATCACCGACTGACATTTTTCTGACTGATAAAATAGACGGAAAATGTACAACAGTCCATAAGGTTATACGCACACTTATATACTACTACTACTACTAC